AAGTATATCCAATGAAAGATGTATATAAATACTACTTCTCATGAAAAAATTGTATTGATCCATACATTTTTTAAAAAGTTATAGCACTTTAAAGTAAAAAATGTAAATTATAAAATCGAAAATTTTCACACAAAAATAGCATTCGGTAGCCGTTTTCACCATGAAGACAAGTCCAGAGATGAAATTTTTTTTTTTCAAATTAAAGAACATTACATTAGCTTTAATTTAAGATATATATAAAAGTGTCAGACCTTCCGGAACATTTTCAAAAGTTAAGTTGAAAAAGTTAATTTTTCGTGAAAAAGTTGTCATTTTAAATCCCCCCTGTGGGCAGAAAAAAGGTCAAATTTACAAAAAAATGACAGGTAAAGACATCAAGCATCTATATAAAAAAAAATTATATTGATATGTTCATTTTTGAAAAAGTTACGGCAGTTTTTAGTAAAAAAAATTGAAAAAATTTCGAAAATTAGCGATTTTTAAATTTGTAATTTTTTTGGAGGTTTCCCCCATTTACGGGGAACGAGGGAAATTTTTTCAATTTTGAAGGGTAATGTCTTTGACTAGATACGATTTGTGATCTTTTGACGTATCGTTGAAAGAAATCCGTTCGGTGAGAGCTGAGAAAAAGTGGTAATAGACACAAAAAAAAACACATCATAGTAAAAATAATACCTTCTCAGCTTCGCATCGAAGCTAAAAAAAATAATTTTTATTTTCACCTGAATTTAACAATAGACGAAATGAAAATTTACTGTAAATAGTAATTATAAAATTTCCCGACTGCATATTAATCTTAACAATACCATTTTTTTCTATTTAATGATTACAATTTCAAACTTGCAAGTTGAGTTAAAAGTTAGAATTATATGGAATTTGTAAGTAGGTTTTTGGAAAAATATCTGGTCTGATATTAGTTTGAAATAAATATAGTTTAAAAAAACTAAAAAACACACTTTTAAAGCTCATCGAACTAAAAAGTTATAAATATTTTTTCAAATAAGTTTAAAATAATTATTTTAAACTTTTTAGTTCAATGTGCTTTAAAAGCGTGTTTTTTAGTTTTTTTAAACTATATTTATTTTTCACTTTTTAGTTTCATGTTATGATAGTAGTTACTATCAATATCATGGTTGTAACGGGTAACGAGAAAACAAGGTTCGATTCCGGGGAGGGAGTCTGAGAAACGTCTACCACATACATGGAGGTAGTGACGATACGGTAATCATCCTCTTAATGAGAATAAAACGTGTTAATATATATTTTTAATAGTAATTAGAATATATATATATACAAATAATGCGACTTAAATACGTAAACGTATCATTCACTAGGTATAGCCGTGTTTTGTGGGCGGGCGGGTCGGACTAACGTTATACCTGATGTATAAACGGCGGTAGGAATATATACGTAAGTCGTATGACATGCGGATGTTATTGGTCAGTCAAAATAAAAATTTGTTTATATATATATATAATATTGATGACAAGCACGTGTGTACGGGTACGGGAACTAAAAATAAATTTTTATAGGAATAGTGTTGTCGTCGGGATGTGAGCGAGGAGTGGGGTGGTGTGAATGCGTTATGACAGTGTAGTCTTAAAGCCATAGACGATGGAATATGCGATAACGCGTGGCACTTGGATAGTTACAAACATACATACATACATACATACAGGTAAAACTAATATAAGCGTGTTAAAAAAAATTTGAGATAAGGCTAACGTCATCCGATTTTTTATATACACGATAGCTCAAAGTGAAATAGTATTAATAATAAACTTTGGATTTAAATCAATTTTAGTGATTTCAGCTACACATTTCAATTAAATTCATTTTTAATCTATTTCTACGCTCTGACACACATACACAAATACCTATATCTATAATTATATTATAGTATTATATTATGGTATTCAAGAGATACTAAAGTATCTCTTGAAAATCTACATATAATCACATTTGATGCACGGTGGACGAAGTAAAACCTACAAAAGTGAAGAATATGATACAAACATTTAAACTACATTGAGTATTTGTAATATTGACAACAAATTTAGTCTACAGTTTGTTTTTAGACTTTCTATTTGAGTATTTTGAGTTATTATTTAAAAGTATTATTACAAATATTTAAAATTAAAACGATAATAGTGATGCATCAATAATATTTTGTATTAAACAAAAACAAATTTGAAAAGTTAGTTTTAAGAGTAAAAAATCATAAGTAAAATATATGTATTGTTTTTGGAGCTTATGGAATAAAAAACATTTGTTGTCAGGCCAAACCAGAGTCTTTTTAAATCACAATAATACAGCGAGACTTATTAAAATATATATTAATAAAAATTACTCCCTCCGTGATGAGTGATATTCTCTTTCATTTTGTGGTACTTGTAAAATGACTCTTGTAACATGTCAATTGTTCATCTTTTACAGCAATAGATGAACAATTGGTCGAATAAAAAAATAATTATAAGACCATATTTGTTAATAATTACTTTTTTTTTATCACATTATAAAGTTAAAAGTACGTCTTCCTATTTACAAAAATTAAAGTTAAGTTTTTTTTATCGTTAATGAGATGAAAAAATTGATTTTACTGTATATTATTGTAAGTTTTAAACCAAATAATTTTCTCTTAACGAAAATTTAAAATTTTCAATAGTTTCTGAGAAATTGAGTATCTTACCCAAATTAAATCATTTTGTATTAAAATTAAAAGTGTTATCTAAAAATAATTATTCAAAATTGAAATTTAATGCTTAAAATAATTTTTAGTACCAACAAATATTGTAGAATACAACGACAGAGAAGACAGTGAAGGTGACGTCAATCATGAACATGAACAAACAGTAAATGAAAACTATTTTCCAGAAGGCTTCATGAATGCCGAATTATTGTATAAATACATGACAAAACACTTAAAAAATATTTGCCAGTATTTTACTCTTGATGATTGTAAAACGTTAGTCCAAAATTACGCAATGTCAAATCCAATTAAAGGACTTACACAAGCTGGTAAGAGATACGTTGTCTAAATTATTAGTAATTTTATGTATCTACCCGGAATATTAATATACACCCACTCAAAAAATTACAATTTAAACGCGATTGTTATTATAATAATTTAATAAACATAGCCGGGGCATATTTAAAATCCATTTTAGCTGGGGCGACTTAATTTTTTTTACTTTGGGAAACAGAAAATTTTCAATAGTTAATGAGTAAACGAATGCCTTATGTTTAATGAATCGCCCTGTATATAAATGAAAAATTAATAACTTGTATTTTATATCGATTGTAATAAAAAAAATTATTTAACTGTTATAATATTTACAATGTTGTACATTATTAAATAATGTATAAATTTATAAATTTTATATGTATCAACTTGATTATTTTAAACTATGATCTTATCTTAAAATAATAATCAAGTAATGTTTAATTTAATATATATTTTTTTTTAAACTACTCTACGGTACTTTTTATTGAGACGATCATAAATCTTAATCAATTAAATGGTTATCTAAATTATAAATATACAATTAATAAATATACATTTTACTAATTAATATTTATATATATATATATACTAATACAACATTAATGGGATTTACACTTCCTGTGAAGTGTTCCCTAACTTAGTCTAATAATAATAAATAATATTAAAATTGTAAAATAAATATTTATAAATCTAAACCAAGTCATATGGCTTGACGCGTTTTAAACGTCTTAGGTCATTGGAATTGTCCAATAGTTGAATTGCCGCTATAATTTTATGGTTTTCCAACCTTATTATATGCTTACGTGCAAACCGAGTGACTTCATCTGCTACGGTTGGTAACATCATATCTCGATGAATTACATAATTTATATCGAATCTGTAAGCCGCAACGATTGTACGAATCACGATTTTTTGACAACATTGTATAACATCTATGTTGGACTTAGTGGCACAACCCCACAAATGAATTCCATAAGTCCAGACAGGTTTTACGATCGCTACGTACAACAGACGTTTGTTCTCTAGTGATAGCTCAGAATGTTTTGCAACTAACCAATAGAGTCCGCGCATTTTATCCTTTATCTGCAGTCTTTTCTGGCCTACATGATGTTACCAGTTGAGGCGTCAGTCAAGGTGCATTCCCAGTCGAATCTCTCTGTGGGATTATTTGTTGCTTTAGAAATATTGGAATGTCACATGTTTAACTTAACGTGAAATTTACGTGCACTGACTTTTCATTGTTAACCCTCATATTCTCACGTTTCAACCACGTAGAAATGTTGTTTAAGGTTATGTTATAATTTAAAAATATAAATAAAAAAAGTAAAATGTTAGTAAAATATAAATGATGAAAATGAGCGATGAATGATGGGTATAGTGAGAACCTGATGTTGTGCATGTCCTTTAGGGGTAGTAATTCTTGATCCCCAATAAGTATGTTATTAATGACTTTGACATTTGTTGCTTGTATGTGCATTGTTGAGTATGTCCAAAGGCTTGGCAGTTTTTACACTGTGGCACACCTTTTTTTTCTTAGGAGGAGTTACTTTTATTTTATGATAACATAAACTATTTAAGTCGTATATATCTTTATTGTTATCTCGAAGATCAAGGTCTACAAAAAATAAAGGTAATTTCAATATTGTTTTTTTCACTATTTTTGTCACTAGGATTTATTTTTTTTTCTTATTTGGATGTCAGTGACATCACTTGCATAATGACCATTATCTGCTAAGGCTCTTTTAATTTCACATACTTCAATGTCAGGGTGTAACCCGCTGATTACAATACGAACCTATTTTCTATTTTTAATTGATATCTGTGATACTTAATTTTATTTTTTTCAAGTACTTTTAAAGTACGTCTCAACTTGTGTTCATCACCAGTAATAATTTTAATATCGCCGTTATCAATAGTTTTTAACTGTTGCTCATGACCAATGGCTTCTTTGCGAGTTAAATTAGAAATTAAATTGTTGATATTTTTAACATCACTGGCAGTTATTGTAGGTACAGTAGGGTCTGGATAATCCGAACACAGATTAATCCGAAAGACGCGGTTATCCGAACGGGCTTGAGAATTATCTTATCGCTATTATATGTACATATTTATTTATAAATAATATTTTCCGGTAATAAAATTTTTCGATTATGTTTGTACATCCGACATCGCACATGTACGTCATTTAGATATGATACGTTAGATATGAACGTCGATTACATACATTCGTCAGTTGAGTGTGATACTGCATAAAGATCGCTTTACACTGCGTATTTGTAACATTTATTAGCGTATTTTTCTTAAAATGGCTCCACGTAAGCATGTTACATTAAAATTACAGGATAAATTAGAAGTTATAAAATTAATTAACAAAGGGACCAGCTACAGTACTATTTCAAGACAATTTGGGATAGGTGTATCTACTATATAAATATTTTTTTACTTTCATTTTTATTTTATGTTGTATATTTTATATATTCTCTTGAAATTACGAATTTTTACACGATTAATACAGATAAAAATTGTTATAATTCAAAAATACAAATAAAAAAAAGTAAAAAGTTGATAAAATATAAATGATGAAAATGAGCGATAAATGATGGGTATAGTGAGAACCTGATGTTGTGGTTCTATCGGGGTCGTATGGTTCGAGGGTTTAGAACAATAAAGACAAGTAGATATGAAGAAATAAAAGCATGTCCTCTTTCTTGAGGAATATGAGCTAATAAACTTGTAAACACCTTTAATAGGACACTGAGGTAACGGGGCGGTAATCCGACCCTCGAATACCCAGTCGAAGTGTCTATTAATATAATCAGATACACATTAGGTTTTTAAACTCTTTTTAGGCACGGGGCGGTAATCCGACCCTCGAGACCCTGTAATGTGTATATGTAGCAGGTGTGAACAAACTAGCAAAATAGCTCTTGATATTAAAAGGAGATTATAGATCTATTGCTTTATCGTTCTTTACTCAGATTATTAACTTTAAATAAATGGAATAATATAAATTGACTTACCTTCGTATTTTGTAATGTCCAAGAAGATAAATGAAGTATTTACCAGAAATGCCAATTTTTACTCAATGTTATTTGTTTATGGTAATAATGTCTTTATAGATCAAAATAAGTTTTAAACATAAATAAAGTGAACAAAATAAAATAACTCAAACGGCAGCACGGGGCCGTGATCAAAATGTAATAGCAAGAGTAGTTCGCAGGAAAGAACTAGCTTACTGGAGCTGTGGCTCTGGCCTTAGCCGTAGCCGTGGCTCTGTCTCTCTGGGTTTTTCAATGGATATCAGTACTTTTTATAGTACTAAAAAGGTACCCCCATATCCAGGGATATTGCCGTTTGTGTTATT